TTCTAAACCAGACACCCAGAACAATCTTTGTGTGTTTTAATTTGTTTATAAGAGAATGAAAGCCAAACCTTTTTTTTTTTTTTTTTTGGCTTTAGTCCTCTTTTGGGTGAAAGGATGACGTTTACTAATCTAGTCTAGTGACCAAAAGCCGGCTATATGCTGCTGCTGCGGTGGAGCTGGGAAAGATCCCAACAAAATTGTCGATCCACCCAGCTGCCTGATTGACAGCTGGCTCTGCCTTTCTAGAGCCAGCTGTGCCCACCCTCTCCCCTGTCTGTTCCTCCAATGAGTGTTGGAAGAACAGAGAGGGGAGGGGGGAATCTCCTGCGGGAGGCCGTGACTGGCAGTCACCACTCTCTGCAGAGAGAATACCATGAGCTTGAATGATCAGCAGTATGTGATCGCTCAATTCCCGGTCTATAGAGCCGATTGTGTGACAACTGCTATATCCAAGTATTGGGAAGAGTGCAGTTTACGCTGCCAATAGTTTCCCCTCAACTCCTCCACATGTGCATGGCTTTTATAAATACTGGAAATACCAAAAAGACTTCTTTCATGAAATGTCCGGGGTTTTTTTCTGAAATCACTTTGGTGTGATTTTTATACTGTTTGTATGCAAACAGTGTAGTGGCGTTCATCTGTAAGCTATCTATACACTTGTACATTTCAGGTTGAATGAGAGAAATCACTAATTTCCCCTTTCCATGGTAAATGGTGTGGATGAAAAATCTACCCTGCCAGCTATTGTATTCCGACAACCGGCACCCACTGCTGTATAAATAACCGTGACTACATCTGATTTTGTCACTGTACAATTGAAGGAGCCAAATGAAAAAACTGTCAGATGGACAAAGTTTATAAGGATGGTTGGTCCCATCGAGGCCTCCCACAACTTGAAAGAGCAAACCTGTTAAAATTAAATTTTTATTTTATGTGAACCACTTGTTCACAACTGTTTATGGAACTAGTTTGCAGTCGTTTCCCTCATGTGTTTTAATGGAAACATGCATCGTTCACAGTAACATTAACAATTCTCACCTTTTTAAGCAATGCCTGTGATGCTTGCGGTCTTTCTAGAGAGGAATATATAACCGGATTTAAAATATGGTAGCATGCTTCAAAAAGGCAATATTTTCAAGTTCTGATTTAGAGCATTAGAGAAATGGAGAGCTCCAGCATCTTTTTGTGGACCCTCTGGAGGGTGTCACTGAGCAGCTGCCCAAACAAAAGGGGTGTGGGGTAGAAGGGCTTAATGGGACACTAAACTCGGTAGTAAATCTTAAAAATGCATTCATGTACCTTCACTATTAACACACGTATAGCCTTTTTGTGTATCACTCGGTTGTAGATCCTCAAATAATTTCTGAATTGGTGCCGACACTGTCCTTCCTTTTGGAGGATGGCTACTTCTGTTCCCCATGGTCCCTGTGTGTAAGCTCACTCCTGTGATGGACTACAATCTCATGTTTAGTTTACTAATTTGTAGTGAAATTGTAGTCCATCACAGGAGTGAGCTTGGTGCGGTGACTACTTAACACCACACACGGGGACCATGGGGAACAAAAGTAGCCACCCTCCAGAAGGAAGGACACAAATAAGATACATTTCAGGTAATAGTTAACGTACTTGAATACTGTACTTCTCTTTTTTTTTTTGTTAATATCTAAATACTGAGTTTAGTGTCACTTTAAGGGTATGTGATAGTTCAGCAGATCCTTCCATCTAGCCAGATTTTTTAAATGCATCCATACTTTTATATGACCCCATGCTACAGTCTGATCAAAAATATTATTGTAGTACTACTGTACTACGGTGGTAGTAGTAGTATTGACATTCTTATGCTCCTCAGTGCCATCTGGTGTTCATAAAGCAGAATTGTCCTGATTCTACATTGGACCTGTAAAGAAAATATACTAATAACATTTGATTTTTTTTTTTTCCTCCATTCACAACGCAAAAATGTACATGTAGTTTCTCAGGACGAATGACTGCAAATTGTTTATAAACACACCCCTAAGTGCTCTTGTAATGGACATTCGTCTTTTACAACTGGCTGTAAATGGTCTCCGCAGAGCATTCTAAAAATGAATTGGGTAACCACCTGCTCTGGCTTGACCTGTTGAGTGGAATTTCTGATGCTTGCTTGTATGAAGAGTAAGATGAGTCTGTAGGCTGAACTTGTGCTTCTGGGGGTGTATATGGAGTTGTCAGTTGTCTACTGACCCTAATACAAAAAGATTTAAATCTATGTTGCAGAGTTTTCAGTATGACACCCTGTTCTACACTCAGTGCCCAATGTCACATGCTATACCATTTTTAGTTTTTTCTCCCTGCATCATTTTTTTTTTTTTTCTTTCCACAGAGTACATGTAACCAAGTCTCCAAACAGAAAAGTTACAGACTATTTTCAAGTTAGAAGAAGCTTTAGGAAAAACAAAACAGAACTAGAGGTACACAGTGACAATAACATTTATCAGTGTGCTTATGTACATGTAATGTGCTGACCACATCTCCATTGCATTTTGCAGTCCGAGGAAAAGAAAAGAATAGATGACCTAATTACAAGTGGCAAAGAGGAGGGGATGAAGGTAATTATTGATGGAGCAAGTGTGTAGATGGGGTGTTTTTAGTTTATTTTTTTCTAATAACACCCCCCACCACCACCATCCCCCACAGATTGCACCAACTTTTAGATCCCTACTGAGGCTCTTTTTGTAGCGGTGTGCAACCTGAGGAATATATTAACGCTTTAGTACCTGGATTTCAGTCTACATTTGCTTATTAGAACACCAAGCTGCTGGGGTGCTAAAGCATTCTGAAAATTAAGAAATGCATTAGTCGCCTTAAGATGTCAACCCTAAAACTTAACTGTAGACAGGTTTACTTTAAGTTGCTCTGGTCTTTATGTCCCACTTCAGATTGCATATAGAGCGCTTTCCTTTTGCCTTTCGCTACAGATCGACATAATTACTGGTAAAGGCCGAGGTGTGATTGCAACTCGGGATTTTTGTCGTGGAGAATTTGTTGTCGAATACTACGGGGATCTTATAGAGATTACAGATGCAAAGAAACGAGAAGCAGCATATGCCCGGGACGACTCCACTGGCTGCTACATGTACTACTTCCAGTTTCAAAATAAAACCTACTGGTGAGTAATTTAATTACATTTTTTTTCTCATTACGGTTAGGGGCTTCACGGAAATATGAGGAGTCTAAAAAGACCCCTGATATTTCCATTTTAAAATACAAAAAGATTGAGGAAGCAGAGTCCTAATCTTCTTTTTTTTTTTTTTTTTTTTTTTTTTGGCGCCCGGGTATTTATGAGAATCGGACTCGCAAC